TGAATGTTCAGGGGCCACAAAACTTAAGCATGATTATTCAGTGTCATGGATTTTATTGGCTGCATTTTTTAAAAAAATGTGAACAAGGAGCTGGTGTTGTTTTCCTTACAACAATATGTGATCTTTGTTCATTGACTTTAAAACATTGAAACAAAAGAGCTTCTATGTCCTGGGAGCTACACACCAAAGTGTATCATTCTGCCTTGATCAATAAGTAATGGTACCACAGCGTTGTGGCTCATAGGCAATGCTGTCTTCCTTTCATTTTTTGAAAACATTGAGGAAACTGTAAACTCCAAGTTAATTAATCTCCTCTTTTATTTTCAGAAGTGCCAGCAGCAGCACTGCAGATTGCAGGAATAAACATTGACAGCTCCACTGTATTTTAAAGCCAAAGGTGGGCTGCTTGGATTATACGGAGTCTATTATCATAATGAATTTAATTCATCAAACATTCCACAGTTTAACTATGTTGCTTCTGTGGCAAAAACATTCTGCAAATGCCCAGGGCCTATAATTTTGTTTGGTACCAATGCAATTAAATATTTGCATCTGAATGCAATTTGAGATCCAATCCAGTTTGCTCTGAATGGCCATTAGTTGCAGCCTGATGAACGCTGGGCTTTAAGTGTTTTGATTTTGAAGCAATTGGTATGTTTATTTGCATTTTTCCTTTAACCTCGCCTTTGGAAGACAATCCATTTACAGTCCCCAAAATGATCTGCAAGGTTGTTATCCCCCCCCCACTCCACCATTATTATCTTTGTAATAATTTAGCATATAAATGGAGGCCAAATTATTCTGTCTCCTGTCCAGATTGACAGATGAGAAACTGTTCCTTAATTTTCAAAGAGCAATGCTGATGAGTTTCGCCATCTCAGGGAAGATGGAGATGGGTTTTTCAGCGGCGAGAGTGTCAGATTGATGAATTTGCTCTGATGACCCCTTCAGAAGAGTGGATGCCAACTCCAGAGGGGCACCAGAGTTAGCAACAACTATTTGAACAGATCATGGGTAAAGATTTAACTCTATGAAGGCATGTGCATTTTGAACTAAATGCTTCCCATACGTCACAGTGTGTATGCCTTTTCTCCCTTAATTCAAATACCTGGAAGCCATTTCCCACTTCAGACTTGGGAAAATCTGGATTTGCCACTGAGAGTACACTCAATGGAAACTTACAGCCTCCCACTAAGTGTATGTTTATCATATTTACATATAATATATTTCACTTAAAACATCATAAGGTAAAGGTTCCCCTTGACAATTTTTGTCCAGTCGTGTTCGACTCTAGGGGGCAGTGCTCATCCCCGTTTCCAAGCCATAGAGCCAGCGTTTGTCTGAAGACAATCTTCCGTGGTCACATGGCCAGTGCGACTTAGACAGATATGGAATGCTGTTACCTTCCCACCGAGGTGGTCCCTCTTTATCTATTCACATTTGCATGCTTTCGAACCGCTAGGTTGGCAGGAGCTGGGACAAGCGACAGGCGCTCACTCCATCACATGGATTCGATCTTACAGCTGAAGATCTACAGACCTTACAGCACAGAGGCTTCTGCGGTTTAACTCACAGCACCGCCACGTCCCACTAAAACATCATAGAGTGTCCCTAAAAGAACCCATGTACTTTTGTGGTTAGAATGGGGGACTAGGACTGTTCTCACTGATCCATGGAAACTTGCTAGTTGACTTTGGAGCTAGATAATCTTTCTTATCCTTGCTTCCTAGGGTTATTCAGAGGACAAATTGTTGGAGGAAAGAGTATGCTGCGTGAATAATACAGTAGTGCATCGCTTAGCGATCGCTCCGTTGAGCAATGAAATTGCTTAGCGATGGGGTTTTGGCCATCGCCAGAGCGGTCGCTTAGCGATGGCCCCTATGGGGAAAAATCGCTTTGCGATGATCGCGGGGAAGCGATCATGGCAAAGCAACCCTTTTTGCACAGCTGATCGGTGGTTCCAAAATGGCCACTGGAAAAACAAAATGGCCGCCTGCTGTTTTGCCTCGCTTTAGAGGCACCGAAAATGGGCGCCCCTATGGAGGATCTTCGCATAAGGTCAGTTTTTAAGCCTATAGGAACACATTAAACATGTTTTAATGCGTTTCTATGGGCTTTTTAAAATCGCTTAGCGCAGTGGTTCTTAACGTGGGCAATAATGCCCCCCAGGGGGCGCTTTCATTTTTCAGGGGGGCGGTAGAACGAAAAGGGGTGGTGTGGGGGCGAAAGAACAGAAGGGGATGGTAGGGGGGCGCTGGAGCAAGCCAAACCTGTGAAGGCGACTGCAGCCGCAGTGCTGGCAGTAGATCCAGTGCTGCTGCTGCCGCCAGATAATCCAACTCTTTCTACCTGCCACGTCTCGCCTTTCTCCTTTAGGGGAGCACTGAGTGTGGATCGGGGGGCAGGAAAGGGTCTCTTGTGTCCTCATCCTTGCCGCGTGAAGCGCTGCCTCGCACCCCGGTGGGGAGGGAGACTAGGTAGGTAGGTAGGGAGGTAGGTAGGTAAGATATCATCACCTCAGGGAGGGGGGCAATGATAACTTCTTCAATGGCTCAAGGGGGCATTTCTTTCTAAAAGGTTAAGAACCACTGGCTTAGCGATTAAATCGCTTAGCAACTTTTTTCCTGGAACGAATTAACGTCGCTAAGCGAGGCACCACTGTACAAGTGAAACTGCATGGCAGGTTTCAGTAGCTTTTTGAATGTCTCCCTAGCATTGACCAACTTTTAGCTTGAGAACTGAATCCATATGGTGGGTCTTAGGCTATGGCTGCATGGTCAAATGTAGTAGGATTTGCTCTTCCTATAAAATGGGTGAATTTGATCTATGTTTTAATGTCTGCATTACATTCAAGGCAGATTTGATTCCTTCCAGCCTATTTCCTGCCAAACCTGCTTTTTTCCCCTCTGCCTCTAGAGAGCTGCATTCATTTGTGCTTTTTCCTAGGAAGATGGGTGTGTGTGTCTTTAGGTGGTGTTTTCATTGATGTAAGCACTTAGGGTATGCTTTTCAGAGTAGTGAGAACATGCCCCCACCATCATTCCTTTCCACTTCCAGTGTTTTAATTTTTTTTAATTCCTGTGTGAGGTTTGCACTAGTCCGCTCTAACACCTTCACTAGATGTTCTTTGCATACAAACACAGAGACCAAAGCAGGGCAAAATGAAAGACATTTGGAACAGTTCTGTAACCAAAGAGCTTTGTAGTTAACCATAAAAGGAAAGCAGAGGCGGAGCCAGAGGAAGGAAAGAAATAAGGGGGGTGAGATTGCGGGTTGCATCACAGATAATATGAATGGGGAACTCACAAATCAATCTACAACCCTTGCACAAACCATTGTTTGTGATATGAATCAAATTGCAGCAAAGCCAAATTCTTCCGAGTCAGCTCTCCATTGCAGCTATGCTCTTATCTAGTGTTCTTCTAAAGGATGTCAGGGATTGCTGAGAGAAAAACATACACAAGCCAAATAAAGCTGGTTCTCAAATGCACACCCTTTCTTCTGCGATGCACAGGTTATACATTGGGTAGCCTATGCTGTCTTTGCAACATCACTTGCTGTCATTGAGAGCACAATGGAGAAAAGGTGTAGGGGGACAGGAAGCAGGGCAGTGTCCTTCTCCCCATCTTTCTGGCTTTGGAAGACATACTGCTAAATTAAAAACGCACAGCTAAAGAACCTGTTGTCCTTCCTCTCTGCTTTGTGTATGTTTTTCTCTCAACAACCCATGATACTCCTTAGAAGTACACTACTAAGATTCACCACATGGATTTAATTCTCAGGCTGTAGTAACAATCAGAAGAAAAAGGGCAGAAATTGAGTTTTTAGCATGGAGGGAAACTCCATCTTTGCTTCTTGAAGGGTGCTTGGGGAAGAAGAACAGCAAAGGACCCCAAAAAGCCCCCTCCTACTGATACTTAATGCCAGGTCATGCAATATTGCAAATTTCCCAACACGAAATATATATAATTTAAAGTTTTTACCCTGCCTATCTACTGGAGTTAAACACTGAAATAGTAATCTATAACAGAACAAATGACTGGGCTGCCCTTTATCATGAGCTAACCAGCAAACTGCTTTTTAAAAAAGTAACTTTCCCAGCTCTGAGAAATGCGCCCTGTGTGCACGCTGCTCCTCCACCTAACTGGAATTCATCAGGTTTTCCCTGGGTGGAGTAACTCGTACAGACATACGCCGATGGACATGAAAGTCTCTTTCTCACACGTGTCAGATGAACAACCTATTGAGAGGGATGGCCAGCGGGCAGCCCAGTGTCTGATGGGTGTGAACAGCACATGGATTCCCAGCGTCCACTCTTGAATTCAGGGAGCTCATCAGCTGAAACTCCCTACTGTTCTTCTGAATTATTGCTTTCTTCCATTTAGTCTACATAGAGGGACTTGTATATGATGGATCTTGCTGTGCAGATAAGAAACATATGAGGACCAAGACGGTTACCAGAGTTTCTTTATCCCTCCTCCGCTTTATTATTGTCGTTGTAGCAACTCCAGGATTTTCTTTACATTCTTTCTTCTAGGATTTTTCCTATGGTTCATTATACTGCTGCCTGAACCTTTCACCAATAAAGTGTCATTTTGTATTCTCCTGCCATTCAGAGTAAAGAGTACTACTAGTTTCTTTAATATATTTCTTTCCTGTGGAGAAAAAGGAGGGAGGGAACATTTATGTTTCTGCATATTTTCACACAGAGATGTTGCTGGAAAATTTGTAATGTTTCACAGTTAACGGAGGTAGTGATATTTTTTTACCTGTGTTTCTCACATTAGTTGTTAGACCTCAGTGTTTGTTTGAATCAGCCATTTTTATAGCTGCCCATGACTGTTCAGATCTTCCATGTTCCTAGAAGATGAAGAAGAACAGAAAAGGAAGTACCGTATTTAAAAAATTTTTAGCATGGTTTCATTCAATCTGATAGCAGTAGTATTGGTAAATAACCTGAGATCTCCTGTCTAATTAGATTTTGTATATTCTGTTTCCAGCAGCAAATATTGAAAATTCTCCAAAAGCACATGAAGTTGCAGTCATTGGAGGTAAGAATGCCATAGTCCTAGAAGGAAATGTATGTTTTGCAGAAATTTTTAGAAGAAATAAAATAAGTATTTTGTAGCAGGTGAATACAGGTCTGTCAATCCTGTCAATTTGTCAGGCAATCTTCTATCCGTGCCCATTTTGGAGCAGGCTGGATTTGGCTAAGTCAGATCACTGGGAGGCTTGGTATGCTGTTTGGTGCTATCCTCACATCCAACTGGCATATGGACCTCAAGCAACCCTATTTGGGTCCACACCAGCCCGTTGACAATATCATGGAATGTCTTAAGAAGAGAGCCATGTCAAGATATTGACAAATAACATTCTCTTGGCTCCATGGAGGGGAGTGTATCAGGACAGCGCATATGCATGGCATCACTTTAAGAGAATTAAAGCCAAATAGAAAACTTCCTACTGGAAGCCAAAGGAAACAGGAGGGGACAACAAGGGGGATTTTTCCTTTGTTTTTGTCTCAAAAGGCCGTTTGAGAGCTAGTCAACAAAAATCCCCACCACAGAGCCAAGGATGTGTTTATTTTACCAATATCTTGAAGTGGCTTTCTTCTCAGGCCACTTCACAATACTGACAGGTGGAAAAGTGGGGCTCGCTTTTGGTCCCTTTCCAGTGGTTTCACTCCTGGAAAACAAAAAGCAAAGTGATCCTGTTCTCACCAAAAAAAGAGTAGAAGCCACTGACATGGGGTGGAAAGGTGTGGTTAGGACTGCTCTGGAGGTGAGCTGGTTCCCCCTCCAGAAAAGAAATCACCTCATCATTGTCTATAGGAGCGAACCAGCCCATCCCTGCTGTGGGCCAAACAGTGCTAAATGCCCATCTAGTCACCCTCTAAGCCCACTGCCATTTCTGCCAGCCTTCCCAAGTCCACAAAATATGTGTCCCACTTCTGTAAGCTCTCAAATATCCATTCCCTTTCCCCCTAAAACTAGTCAGGGATAGTGACAGCAGCATTACCCCACAGTACATACGGATGGGTAACACTCCCGTGCTAGAGGAAGAAGAACAGATCTGTTCTTAATTGATAATAGCAGCCTGGAAGGCTTTAAAGAGGGAGGAAGGGGACAGGAGGCTGATGGAAAGTAGGAGAAGAATATAACAATGGATAATTAGTTTGTTTCTGGTCATTTTTGGTTTTGATGTTTCCATTTTAAGTTCATTCTGTTGCATGATGATGCTCTGCAAGCTAAAAACAATGCTTACAATTGTATTTAAATCATTTCCCCCAATACTCATTCGTAATGTATTTGTCCTCTAAAATAAACATTCCACATGCGTTTTTTGAGCTAGGAATTTGGAATAGCATGGATCACTGTGAATGTTCATTGGCACCAGATCTAATGGTGGGTGTTCCATATCATGTTCTTCAGAGAGGCTGCTTCAAGGTCCCTGGATAAAGATTTGGGCCCCCATTCAGCCAGTCTCTCCATTGAGGAGAGCCTTCCTACCTCCAGATGTTTGTAGTTGAGTTTGTGCTCAACAAGATGCACAAGCATTTGGCCACCATGGCCTTTCTAGGTTCAGCTACCGCTGGTAGTTTTCTAAGGTCATTGCGATCTTTCTGCCAGAAGTTGTGGAGAAGGAACAAATGTTTCTTCTTTTTTTAAAAGCTATTTAAAGCAGACCAAGAAGCACAGTCTGCTTCTCATGCCAAGTGAGATGTTCAGTTATCCTGCCTCTGTGCTGTCTGCTCAATATTGTTAACATGCAAGGGAAAGTGATAGCAGAGGTTAGGAAGCTCCATGGGTCTAGGGGCCAATTTTTCACCATGAGGAACCATAACCACCCCCACCCTCTGCAGGAAAAAAACATGATAGAAAACTAAACTGGAATGGACTGGAGATTACTTCTGGTTTTCTTGAATAATAGTCATTTTTATCGTCATCTGGATAAATTTAGAAGAATTGGTGCTCCTAGAAAGATCCAAAATTGAAAGTTCTTAGGGAGGGGCCACAAAAAAAAACCATCTTGGGGGCCCCATGAGTCTCATTGCCAGATTTAATACCTCACAGCAACCCCACAGCAGCTTTCCTCTTTCCTACAAGCTTAGGCAAAGTAGGTTGCAGAAGGACATGTAAAAAGAAAACCTTAGGCTATCCAGCAGTCTTTAAAAGGTCATTGTTTCCTAGAGCTTTACCAATGAAAGTGGTTCTATTATCACAACAGAAACTTGCCACAGGAATTTAGAAACAGCCCCATTAACTCACATTCCTTCATTTGAATTACTATTCCTCCCAAAAGATGTATTCTTTGGGCCTTTTTATATCTATTGTGTTTGCTCATTTTGCTGTACATGCTAATTTCGGCAATTCACCAGGTACATTCCCCATCATTAGTGCAAATTAGTGACATTCTGCTGCATTTCCCTTTGGCTCCATCTCCTGTAACTTTAATCTCAGCTGCCTACAAGTTACTAGGAAGAAAATTGAATTGCTCTGCGTCCCTGAGGCTTATTAATACTGTACAACACTTAAAGAGCATTAAAGCCTATTGTGTTTTGGGAGTCCACTGTGGATCTTAAAAATTCATGAAGACTCTGTTGGGGTCATGTTATTATAGCAGATACAACTTCTTCACATTTTCTTTTCCATAGCAGCCAAACTGAGTTCCTTGAATCAAGCAGCATATACTGTAGCTCAGAGGTTTTCTTAATGCCTTAGATTAAACTGTATAAGTAAAGAGAGTTCTTTGTACCCATTCCACAGCAATTGTAAGTTTGCTTCAAGATCCAAGCAAAAAAAAAATATTGATCTACAGCAGTGGTTCCCAACCTTGCGTCCCCAGATTTTCTTGGACTGCAGTTCTCAGAAATCCAGGCCAGCGTGGCTAATAGTGAAGGCTTCTGGAAGTTTTAGTCCAAGAATACCAGGGGATCCAAGGTTGGGAACCGCTAATCTAGAGCAAAGGTAGGGCCCTTCAGATGTTTTAGACTACGGCCCCCAAATTACTTTCTATTGGCCTTGCTAGATGGAGCTGACACAAACAACAGGTGAGCCAATGTCCATACATGTATCTGGCCCGGATTTAGAGTCAGATCCATGTATGTATAGTTTTATACCAATCCAGGCTCCAGTGTCTTTCTTAGAGCTGTTTTAGAGCCAGCAATAAAGTGAGTCAAATCAAAGTGTTAGGTAAATATTCAAGCAAGTGGGGTAAACAACAGTATCACAGTACAACAATAGTAAGGGAGAGAATATTTCTTTGACTGAACACCACCCAGAGCCTGACGCTTGTCACCTTCTGTTCATGGATTGAGGGAGGATGACTTTTTTTTAACTTTCTGTAGAGAGACAAAATATATCTTGGGCTAGCTGTGATACCATCTGAGAGGCCATGGTCTTAAGGATGGGTGTCCCTTGACAAGAATGGCTGACAAATGGCTGTTGAATGAATGGCACTTTGGTGCCCTAGCCATCTTGTTCTTCTGATGCTGAGTTGTTCTTTTCCATTCAGGCCCATCATTTCTGTCTGCCATGCTGGTTCAGTTAGGAGCATTGGATCCAGCCTACAACAGGGAATGAAGCAGGAATAAAAGTTCATAGGATCATATTATCTGAACACAAATCTATGTCTAAGCAAAAGATTATTTTGGAGGTGGCTACAGACCTATCTCCTATTGGAAACCAAGACAGTCAAAGTCTGGATTTCTCAGACACTCTGGACTTTATGTACTTAAAAGTTGACCACAATATTAAGACGGGGAATTTAAGTATAACCTTGTTGTTTTCTTGTTTTTATTTTGTTTTGCTCAATTCTCTGGCTTCATCATCACAAAGTCCACCCCCTTCTGATGTGCTGCTATCTTTCCTTGCTTTTGCTTTGAAGAATCCAGCAGAAAGCCACCACCCCCCTAGAGTGAAGCAAAACAAAAACGGAAAGGCTTAGGCTATTGAAAATGGTAATGAAAAAGGAGAAAATGCAGATGTTTCTTCTTCTTCTCCCTAGGTGTCATTGCAGCTGTGGTTCTCGTCTTGATTTTCTTCTTGCTAGTGATTCTGAGATACGTGTACCGGCACAAGGGCACCTACCATACCAATGAAGCAAAGGGAACTGAATTTGCCGAAAGCGCAGATGCAGCTTTGAAAAATGACCCTACCCTTCAGGACGCCATGGATGAGAGCCGGAAAGAATATTTCATCTGAGAGCAAAGGCAGCCCACTGAGACACACTTAGTCATTCTCTCCTTCCCAAGGGAATCGATCAGACACTAGATCAGAAAGCACCAGGATATGGAGATTGCACAGGAGAGAACAGGGGGACTAATTGAAAGATTGTTGTTTGCCCCCCAGGAAGAATGAAATGCCTGATACATCACTGTTTATTTGATTAGCGCCGCCGCTCAGTTCAATACCAAATCAGGAGAAACAAAAATCTTATGATGAGTGGGTGATTAACTGAAAAAAGCAGATAATAGTGTCAAATGTCAAAGTGTGACATTTGGCAGACACCCTTGGAAAGCTTCATCATAGACGTGTTGATCTATCCTGCATGGATGTGATACCTAGAAGTGAATTTTAAGTGGCAACAGAAGGTGTCAGGATGCATAAAACACAGAGGATTCTGGCACAAAAATGACTGTTATAGTTCAAATATCTTGTTTTCCTTAACATGTATAAGTTTGTTAGTGTGAATGTATATGCTTGTTATTATATATTTTTTAAATAATGTCCTTTAAAAAAAAAAACACCAGCGACTCAAACCTCACAGGAAAACACTAGAAAAATGCTGAGGAAAGTTTCTTAAATGAAGGATTTTATTTTAGGACATTTCTTTATGTTCTTACATACTTTCTTTATGTTCTTACTATGATAGGAGGCTAGATTGGTTTGTGTAGGACTTAAATACAACACAATGGCTCCTGCCATTTACTGACACTAGTCATGGAAGCTTCATATTCCTATCCCAAGGAATAGGAATATGGCAACACAGTTGTCATGGAGGTCTCTTCCCTCCCCCCAGAACCAGCCCAGTCCACTCACTGGGCTTTGTGTGGTGCGTGGGGCCCTCATTGGTGGCATTGCACCAGTGCTTTCCTGCCTCCCTGCGCTGCTGACCACTCCCGTGAGGAGGTGGGATGATGAGTCTTCCTGCTCTGCTGCTGAGTAGTCAGCAGCACAGCAAGGCAGGGAAGCACTGGTTGGGCTACTTCCGCAATTGGTGCCATGCTACCAGTGACGCCCGCACGTGCCACATGAAGCCCGGTGAGTGGACTGGGCTGGTTCTGGGGTAGAGGATCAAAAAGGCCTGGCTCCTGTGGTGGCGATATTCATAAACTTCTCCCCTAGGAGACGAATATGAATATCCTATATATTACTGCATTTTTGCTGAAGAACTATTGTCTATTCCATTGCTCAGATGACAGAGTAGCTAAAGAGGTGGCGTCCTCTTACCTTTAAAGGCATTGTTGTGGTCCAAGTAAAGGAGGGCCTGACGCCACAGCAGTAGCGTGGGACAACCCCCAACTCCATCCAGAGGCCACCAGTGCTTTTTTAAGCTGCCAGCTTATAAGGATTGGGGAGGGATAACAGGGCTGAAAGTGAAGGGCTTATCGTTCACCCCATAGCTTTCCATTGTGCATTTCATTCAGCCCTCCCTTCCTTTCCGCTCATAATTTGAGCAATAGTTTGCTCAGTCCCTACTCACTCATAACCCTCAGTGGACCTCACATTGCACAGCATTGCATTACCCAGCCACAGCATGGCCGTTTCCCATGCTCTGGATGAAAATACCTAGCATGGCTTGCCTTACTAATCTTTCCAGTTCCGTTAAGAATCTTCATGGTGGTATTAGGTCCTCTTCAGAGGATTCATTGCTGGAATTAAAAAGCTAAAAATGGAAACTCCCATTAGCATTGCTGTGCTGGAGGTTGTAACCACAATGCAAAAGTAAATGGTAAAATTATGGAAAAGACAAAATTGTAGAAAACAACCTGGGGTACTTCAGAAGTATGGAGGTAAGGCAAGGAAATCTGGAGGAGCGGTAAACCTGCTGTGTCCAGAGAAAGAGGAGGCATTCAGATGCCACTTAAACCTGGTGCAAACCAGTGACCTGTGCCTAAATCCTTGTTGGATTGTATTACTAAGCACCGTTCAGGAAACCAGACATAGACTTGGCTATGGTAGATTCAGATATGCCACACATTGCCTTGTACAAACAGACCTCATACCAGTTTTTATGATTTCATTCGGATCTATTGTGTATATATCTCCCCACTCCAATTATGCTTCTTTGCATCAACTGACAGAAAGTGGCTATTTGCACAAGAGCTAGAATGTTTGCGTTAACAAAACAGTCTTCATTAGCTAAGAGAAATATTTAGTTCCAGGTATATGATCTGTATCCAGGAACACAAATTCTCTTTTGTTACCCTTCTTTTTGAATTTCTTTTTGTTCTTCTGCCTTGTTAACAGTATTCTTTTAACCACATAAATAGTCCAGGTGTGACATTATGCTCCCCACCCCCACCCCAATGCTAATTATCATTCTGGGCTATTAAAGCACACACATTCTTACTTGGTTTCTACTGTTTTTCTTTTGGAGTTCTTTTTCAAACTTGTTTGATAATGAAAACTTCCCTCCTGTTGGGGGTATTAACTTGTTCACCAACAGCTCTGCTAAGCTCTTACAAACTCAAGGCCATATCTTCCTTTATTTAGTCATCCCATTTCCTATTTGGTCTTCTGCTGTTCCTAGCATTCTTGTATTTTCTGGCAAGTCCCAACATCTCATGAGGTCCCCAAAATATGACAGTCTCAGTTACATCATTTTTGCTACTAGAGAGTTCAGAACTGATTTGATTTAGGACCCCCTTGTTTGTCTCTCTAGTAATCCATGGTATCCTTGGGGTACCACAGTATTCACTGAGACCACCGAAAGAAAACAGTCAGTCCTCCTTACAATATTCTGAAGTCCTAATGACCTCCTGTTACCTTCTGTACTGTTTTGAAACAAAATCCAGAAACAAATGTAGTCACATTTCTGTTGTGTAGTGCATCCCTTAGTGAGTGTATGAGCCCAGGTTTACTGAAGGTGACTCAGAATTTGATGGATATATATAAAAGCATAAACAGAAAGAAAGTCCAACTTGCTTTCAGTAAATCTGGGGGTTCTCTGGCATGCCAACACAGTAAAAAACAATACTTACACCATCATCACATAAGGAGAAACACATAATGAAAAAAGTTAATGAAAGAAGTTGCAGATTGGCATAATATGTATATTCAGTGGGACATGGTGGCGCTGCAGGTTAAACCACAGAAGCCTCTATGCTGCAAGGTCAGAAGACCAGCAGTTGTAAGATCGAATCCACGCGACAGAGTAAGCTCCCGTCACATGTCCCAGCTCCTGCCAATCTAGCAGTTCAAAGCATGTAAATGTGAGTAGATAAATAGGTACCACCTCGTGGGAAGGTAACGACATTCCGCGTCTAGTAGCGTTGGCCACGTGACCACAGAAACTGTCTATGGACAAACACTGGCTCTGTGGCTTGGAGACAGGGATGAGCACCACGCCCTAGAGTCGGACACAACTGGGCAAATTGTCAAGGGGAACCTTTACTTTTATGTATATTCATGGATGCACCTTTAGCAAGAATACATTTTTCCATAATCGAGAAGCCTGTGACCAGTGTGCCAGCTACCTAACATAGGATAGATGGCTTGGACTCCTGCTCTGCCTTTCTTTGGTTCCTTTATAATTAGATTATGCAGAGACTAAATGGCACTTCAAATGGAGGAGAGTCCTCTAGCAGCACTTGAAAGAGATGATCACCTTCTGTAGAATAGATTCATGGCCATCTTAAAAATGGCTCAATACTCCCTACCCTTTAATGCAGCTGTGATTGGGGCCAAATTGCTCTACTTCTTTTTGCAGAAATTAGGTCTTGATTTGTAAAGAGAGGGCTATTTGTTATATGATTGGTCTGAATGTTACCAATACTCCCTTGGCCTCAAAAGTCCATTTGTCATTGTTTCCTCCTTTGTCATCAACCAAGCCAAAACCAACCATTTGGTGCCTGAGTCCCCCCCCCCCCCCCCCCCGCAAAAAATACCTTATTGATTTTTAAGAGAAATGGTTAAGTCCTTGGTGGCCAACCTCTTCACTTATTCTGTAATAAATGAACTTGACATTGGATGAAGTATGCTAATGACATATCTTGTCCATATGTTTTTAACCTTAGGGACTATTATAATTGAATGTCTAGGTACCATTGTGAGCTAATTTGTATACATAAGGCAATCTGGCTGGATATTTGCTTAAAATTGATTGTTTTTCTAGTGTTCACTTTCAGAAAAATATTCAGAACATTGGGGAAATGCAGTGCTTGGTTAAAGTGGGGCACAAAGTTGTCCAATGCTTTCCTGGAATCTGTCTGCATTACCCTAAAGATTCTAGGTTGCAGGAATGGGGGCTTGTGAGTCACAACTTGCTGTCAAGTCCAACTTAAGTTGCACTGGTGACTTGACCTGGACTGAAAATGGGTATATTTTGCGAAGACTTAGACTTGAGTCCTGACTTGATCTGTTTTTTTTTCTGAGTTGCATTTTCAAGTCCCTATTCGGGATGGGCCTCCCTACCTGCTCCTGTGGCCACCATTGCCGCTGCCACCCTCCTCAGATGCAGCAGGCCCAGCTTCTGTTCCACGAACTGGCTACCGCCTCCACCCATACACTCGCCAGCCAGATGATAGGCCAGCACATGTGCAGAGGTAGGTGTCAGTTCCAGAAAGTGAAGTTAGCCTGCTGGCTCTGAACATAGGCATCTGCCCACACAGCTTCCCTTTCAGGCCCACTGTTTCTGTGCTTGCGCCCCTTGGAGAGGCAAATGACGCGACTCTCAAGCTTGGGACTTTGGACTCGGAATCAGACCCAAAGAGTCAGACTTGGACTCAGGAGCCGGACCAAAGGACTTGCCAACATCCCTGCTGGATTGAGTCTAAGGCCTGGTCAGAACATGCAGCAGCATGAGGTAAAATGGACTTCACCACACCATGCTTCAGGCAAGGCTACGTTTATATATACATGCCTTTTTTTTCTTGGCAAGGGATAATATATTTGTAAGGAGCTGTATTTTTAGAATCAAACTAAATAACCCCCTGAAAATGTAGAACTAAAAATGGAACGGTAAATTGGGACTACTTTGCTCTGTCTCTTGGTTGCAGGAAATTATGTCAGGGAGCCTTCAAAAATTGAATCTCTTCATCTGCGCTCACCTTTCCTTTTTTCCTATTTAGTTTGAAAAAAAAACATGCCCGTAGGCTCCATGCAGTCTTGAGGTTATTCTTCCTTATGGAAGAAAACTAGTGGGCAAGGTAGCCACAGAGAACACCAGTGCCATATCTTCTTTTCTGCAACCATGGTAAATACTGTTACGAGTTTAAAGTATTTTTAAAAGAAAGTTGTAAATTAATATAAACAGGATTTGCAGCAGTTCCATGAAAGTGACAGGATCATGTACAGTGTTCTGATCCCTCCCTCACCTGTGCAGTGTTTACATACAAAGAAGTGCAAGGAAAGAAAGAAACCCAAGACTCCTGCCATACTTTTAGCTGGAAATTTGTATCCTTCACAGTGAGGCAGCAGTCCTAGCTTTTCCGGCAGACAAATCCTGCAACTGAACTGTTTTAATGGTTCACAAACAAGGCTAGAGAAATGAGAAGTAGGCCAGAGACAACTTTATTCTTCAGAAAGAGCCTACAAGATTTTCCTATACAAACAACCATGGGCCAAGCTCTTAACCCCAAGGGAGTGTCAAGAAATTATATAGTCTGTCATTATAGAATAGAGTACAGTCTTTCCTAACATGCAGCCCATCTGTAGCTAAAAAAGCAGTCACCTTTTGCAATGTCATTCTAGCACATGCATATCTGCCACTTACAACCAGCCAAAGGGAACAGGAAAGATAAGACCAAACACATTGGGACCCAAGAAAGTTGAGTAAACAGGAAAGGGGTCTCGGGAATATGGAAAGTCTCTTTCAGCCAATAAAGATTTTAAAGGTAGGTGAACTGGACCTGGCAAAAGGACAGAAAGCTCAACAGGAGCCTTCTGCTTTTTGATAATTCAGAAAAAGGATGGCTGGCACAGCAGTTTAGGATAAAAGGGGCTCCGCTCTTTTACAGAGCAAGGTTTTTCAGTCACAACATGAGGATTCTCCACAGATGAGAAAATCGCCTAACAAGTGATGTGGTTTAGTCATGATTCATAAGTTTCACAAGGCTTGGGACAAAACAAGAAAGCTTATTGGCCTTGACAAAACGCATCTGTTTATGCGTGAGACCTCAGCTGTCCACATTATTGTGCATCTCAGAGTAAATGCATGACAAAAAAGACAGAAAAGCAGCCATAAGCTTCCTCCTTTAGTAATTATATTTGCCGTTGTTTCTCAGAAACAAATGTCATAAAAGTGTGTACTGCCACCAGCCCCACCACTTCCCTTATAACTTCATGTGTTTCCAGTAATATGAGTAACTGTATTTGGAATGATCATATCTCAATGAAACCCATGGTTTAAAAACAACAGAATATTTGCCTTCTGTTATCTTATATAGTGTGCCTGTGTGTGTGTGGTATGAAAAACTTTGGGTGCCTAATTAGCAGAAAGGCAATTCAGAGATGCTAAATTAAGTAAATAAATAATCCTGCTCCAGTTGGAACACAATCACTTTGGCACTAAACAGGCGTTATCAGAAGCAATATTTGTTCCCTGACTTAAAAATCTTGGCAAGCTTCTGGCATTTCATCTCCAGGACTGGCTGCCGAAATGATATTGCTTACATTTCTCCACAGGAGACAACCAGGAGTCACTTCTCATAGCCGCTTAATGGTATTTATCACATTGCGTACATGTGTAGTTTCGTCGAGGTATTCTAAGCATTTCAAGGCTGCCAAAGCCTCGAAGATGGGCATACCTTAAGTGCTATCCTGTCACTCACATCAGAGCAAAAAATGCTGCCATATCCTGCATTCTGTCATTTTAGGTTGCTGAATGTGCATTTGATTTATATTATTTTAGGCACTTTCACTCTGTTTAAACAATATATTTTCAGGCATCATTCAAACAATTCAGACAACCTGTCATTTGAGATTAGTATACTGTATCTATTTCTGTATAGACATAGAGGAAGCTCAGGTTAGAGTAGATTCTCAGTTACCCATCAGCAGATTGAGTTTCAAATTTTAGATAATGTATTAATTTTTCTAGAAAAGAAGAGGATTGCAAACATAAATAATATTATATTTGGCTTCTGAGAAGTTGAAAAAAAAACCATTTGTAAGCTCAGTATTTAAGAAATTCTGATCAGACCGTTTCTTGTCACATGATAGTAAGCCTGTTATGTAATTGGATATCACTGGAGATTGTGACAGAGGAAACCTCAGTGTATCTTTCCCCCATATTTGTTTCTTAAAAAATAAAGCTGCTTCTGCCCTGTCTGGAACCTATCTGCCATGCACCAGTGAAGGATTTAGGCGTCTGTCAGGGAAAAAAGGAGTAACAATCACAATTAAGCCCA